CCCCTTTACCCTCTTCTACTGACGCCGACGCCCCTTCCCTTCTGGTAACCACTTGGTGTCTATGAGGTTTTTCGTTTGTTAGTTTGTTGCTTCCTGCGTTATATTCCACAAATGAGTGAAATCTTGGTTCTTTTCCTTTTCTGTCTGACTTATTTTGCTAAGCATGATACTCTCAAGATCTACCCATGTTGTCAAAAATGGCAGTATTTCATCTTTTCTTACTGCTGCATAGTATTCCATTGTATATATGTACCACATCTCTTTCTTTCTTTTTTAAAAAAAATATATTTTATTGATTTTTTACAGAGATGAAGGGAGAGGGATAGAGAGTTAGAAACATCGATGAGAGAGAGAGAAACATCGGTCAGCTGCTGTGCCCGCAACCAAGGTACATGCCCTTGGCCAGAATCGAACCTGGGACCCTTCAGTCCACAGGCCAACGCTCTATCCACTGAGCCAAACCAGTTAGGGCACATCTTTCTATCTAATCATCCATCAAAGGACACTTGGGTTGTTTCCATGTCTTGACCAATGTGAATAATGCTGCAATGAACATAGGGGTGCATGTATTTTTACAAATAAATGTTTTCAAAATTTTTAAGTAGATACCCAGAAGAAGGATTGCTGGGACATATGGTGTCTATTCTTTTTTTTTTTATTAATATATTTTTAATCGATTTTTTTACAGAGAGGAAGCGAGAGGGATAGAGAGTTAGAAACATCTATGAGAGAGAAACATCAATCAGCTGCCTCCTGCACACCCTCTACTGGGGATGTGCCCACAACCAAGGTACATGCCCTTGCCCAGAATTGAACCTGGGACCCTTCAGTTTGCAGGCCGACGCTCTATCCACTGAGCCAAACCAGGTAGGGCGGTAGGTCTATTCTTAATGTTTTGAAGAGCCTCCATACTGTTTTCCATAGTGGCGATACCAATCCACACTCCCACCAGCAGTGTCTGAGAGTTCCTTTTTCTCTACAACCTCTTCAACACTTATTTCTTGTCTTGTTGATAATAGCCATTTTAACAGGTGTGAGATAGTATCTCATTATAGTTTTTATTTGCATTTTCATTACAGCTAATGAAGGTGAGCATCTTTTCATATATCTGTTGGCCAGTTGTATGTCTTCTTGGGAGAGTGTCTATTCAGGTCCTCTGCCCATTTTTTAATTAGATTGTTTATTTTTGTTATTGTTGAATTGTAGTAGTTCTTTATATATTTGAACTCTAGTTTCTTAAAGATCTTTGGACAATTACATAGTAACCACAGCAATATAAATTTAAAAAGTCAATGAGATGTGTAAACAAACACAACTGCATTAATATTAAGAATCATTAGAGGTAGAGAATTGTTTCATGGATGGCATGTGTTTTCATGAAAGTATTTAAAAATGAGGGTTGGGAGGAATGATTTGGGAGCAGCAATTAAGGCCAGAATCCCGGCCTTTTGAAAGGGAGGACTGCTAGGCAGGTCGGAGCTTGGGGAACCACCAGGTTTCTTCTGAGGCAAGGAGTAAACTCTGCTTATAACCAGTGAGCCTAAAAGAGAAACTTGAGTCACCCAGCAAACACCTTGAAAAAGAGACTTGAGTAATCCCAGCAAACAACTTGATTTCAGACTTGAAACTGTGAGCAGACAACTCAGTGTAGTCTCGCCTGGACTTCTGACCTACAGAAATGTGAATAATAAATACTTACTGTGTTAAGCCACTAGTTTGTGGTAATTTGTTACACAGCAATAGAAAACTAATACATACAGTCCTTTATATTAAAACTAGAGGCCTGATGCACAAAATTTGTGCAAGGGACTCCGCCCTCACAGCTGCGGCGGCTTACCTCGGCTCTCACAGCCCCAGCTTTGTCTGGAAGGTTGTCTGGAAGGGCACCTTAGAGGTCGTTCGGCTGTCCAGTCTAATTAGCATATTGCACTTTTATTATTATAGATGTAGAGCACAGGGTCCTCAATCTTTCCTCTGTCCTGGCACACTAGTGACTGGATCATCAGGGCAGGGATTTCCCTAGGGATGGGAGGGTTGTCTGAAGGGACCATCAGTTGACTCTGTTCTATAAATGACTTAGGCATTTTCTTTCATTTTTGCTAAATATCAAAACACAATATGAAGATGATTTTACATTGCTGGCCCTTAGTTGATTTCTGCCCCTATCACTCATTGGCTCTTTCCTGCCCATCCTCTAGGCCAGTGATGGCGAACCTTTTGAGCTCAGCGTGTCAGCATTTTGAAAAACCCTAACTTAACTCTGGTGCTGTGTCACATATAAACATTTTTTGATATTTGCAACCATATAAAACAAAGACTTATACTTTTGATATTTATTTTATATATTTAAATGCCATTTAACAAAGTAAAATCAACCAAAAAAAATGAGTTCGCATGTCAGAGGTGACACGCGTGTCATAGGTTCGCCATCACTGCTCTATGCTATCTACCTCAGATCCCCATTGAGTCAGCTGCGTTTTGTTCCATAAAAGAATTACTTGATATGGCTGAACTCATCACTACCATGCATCAGCCAAATTAGCTTGTGTCAGGATCATCTGGAAAAAGTGGAATGTTTGGGTCAGCCCCAGCAGGTCCAGGGGTTTCCAAAGGTATGGACAGAGCTGGTGAAGAAGGAAGGACATGGAGACAGCGTTCAGTTGATCACCATAGTTGGGTTCTCTTTTTATTCTCCTGTGACATCTGTATTTATACCATTTGATCCTATGAGCATGCCTCTATAGCAAGGGTGGGCAAACTTTTTGACTCGAGGGCCACAATGGTTCTTAAACTGGACCGGAGGGCCGGAACAAAAGCATGGATGGAGTGTTTGTGTGAACTAATATAAATTCAAAGTAAACATCATTACATAAAAGGGTACGGTCTTTTTTTTTTCAATAGTTTTATTCATTTCAAACAGGCCGGATCCGGCCCGCGGGCCGTAGTTTGCCCATGGCTGCTCCAGAAGAACATTAGATTTGAAATATGGCTGCTCTATAGTCACATCATGGTATGTTTTGGGTCCTCCCTTAACCTACTACAGTTCCTTGTTTCATGTCCATAGTTTCTTACTTGACCTTTGCCAAAAATCCTGTCTCTATCTAATTCTGTTGATTTTAATCTTGTTTAGGTTAATCTCTGTGTTCCATTATAAGGGCTATTCCAAGGTCACTATTCTGCTCTACTGATAAACTACAAGGAAGTGACTGAAGGAAATTATCCTAAAGTAAAGATTATGTAGCTTAAGCGTGATTGTTCTAGTTAAGGTGATTAACTACCAGCCTGGCACTAAGTTAAAGGGTTCTACTGATTTATTCCCTTCCTTAGTCCTGTTAATCCCTAACTCCAGGGAAAAATCCCCACCTGGGGAAACAACCTTTCTTGGGGAGCTGGCCCTCATAGCGCTAAGAAGGGGAGCAAACATATTAAGAACAGTATGCCATATACTCCAGGTCCCTTGAAACATATGCTGTGCAGATGTTTCTTCCCTGTAGCGACTGTGTCAAGCAACAAGGATGGACCGGTCTCCGGCAGTGGAAGAGAGACCATTTTAATATTGGTTTTAAAGCATAGCTAAGAAGCTAAATTTGCTTCTGGAATAGGAAAAAAAACACCCACAAAAAATACCAAAATGATGCCCTTCTAAGCCAAGCATCATTATCTCCTAATGTCCAAGAGTGTCTCTCACAGGATGTCAGATATTCAAAATAAACTCAAAAATGAACAGTTTACCATTTTCAGAGTGAAGTTCAAACCTTCTGAAGCCCCTTTAGATGGTGTACAGCAAATTTTATCCCCTGTGTTGGCAGCGGGCTGGGCTGGGATCTTTGGGCTTCCTTAGGGCTCAGGGGAAGGGGCAGCTCAAGGCTGCCCTCTCTTGTGGCATCACCTGCCTGTCCCTCGCACAGGCGCTCTGTATGTATCACGCCCACACCTGCTCTTCCTCCTGGGAAAGGCCACCACCTGAGGAGCCCATATCTGTCTCTGACCTGGACTAGCCATCCACACCCATGAGACAGAGCAGACACACGCAGCAGTAGGTTCCAAAGTTCTGAGCATTTTCTTTAAGCCTGGCACATGGGGAGCCCTCTGGCAGCCTTTACTGGTGTGTGTGTGTGTGTGTGTGTGTGTGTGTGTGTGTGTGTGTGTTGGAGGACAGTAAGAGAGCTCACCTATCCTTGAGAGGGTAGTTGTGTGAACTTTGATGTATTTGAGCTGTCGATCCTAAGGCCCCACCACAGAAGCTCCTTGTGGACAGCAGCTCTGGCTGGAGCGGGGTTGGCTTCATGAGTGTGTGGCCTGTGCAGGCGCCCAGGGCCTGCATGTGGAAGGGCAGCACATGTGGTTTAATGCTTTGTTGTCACTATGGTGACATACGTAATCACTGCCCTAGTCCATGTGTCATACTCTGACTGCAAGGCTTAGTAGAGTGAAGACAGGAACATGTGGGATGGCTGTGTTGTCACTAGTCTCCCCCCCAAAAATGATAACACGAAAGGAAAACAGCTCATCAGTTGGATTACTTAATTTAAATCATTATTATGAGTTTATTTTATCCTATAACTAGTTCAAATTTTCACATGATTCAGGAATGTTAGTGGCTATAGAAAAGGACTTGGACTGGAGAGTCCCTCAGACACCTCTATCTGCATACAGCCCCTCAAGTCTGGATTTAACCCACATATTTTCATCTTTAGGTAAGAGCTCTTCTGGATGGCCATGTTCTCGGCTCGCAGCTTGGAGAGAAGCATCATTAGAATTGTCTACCTTCTGATAACCTAAGAAGGAGATTGGGAGTCATGATGCGTCTCGGGAGAACTTCATGCTGAAAAGCCTAGTAATTTATTTTTGGTGGAGTTCTGACACTCCCGTCAGTCTGGCCAGGTGACTCAGAAGAAGGAATGTGTTGAGGCATTTCTGGAATCTTACTGGAGGTACCTGGCAGGC